GCGCGCCGCCCCTGCGCGCCTCCGCCGCCATCCCCTCTCGGCCCCACTCCCCGCCTCTCCCTAGCCCTCAGCTCCACCCACTGCAGCCCTTGGTGACACCCAAGCGCTTTCGACTCCTGACCTCTAACCTCTCTTTCTCTCCCTGATCCTCTTCATACAGAAACTAACCTGTGTCTCCCTCGCAGCTAAGCAGGTCATTTTAATGTGGTTTCAATGCTTCATTGTGACTGAGTGGAATCCAGGATGGGATAGAGTGGTAAGACTGTACATCAAAGAAGAGGCTGTCCTCTCCTCCAGACACAGTGTTAGGGCCTTCTGAACACCACGGCCATATGTCATGGGTGCTCTAGATCTTGATATTCATGATCTTTGCCATAGTCATCACAGCCTCCACCTTGGAGCCAGAACAGCATGGCCTTGGGCAGAGAAGTGGAGGATGTTCTACATCTGCAGCTGTCAGCTCTCTGCGGAGAAATGTGTTATGGGTATGGCCCTGTGGCCCTGAAGCTCATCAGGTTGAAGGCCCGGCTCCCTGTTCCTCCGAAGTGCCACTCTCTGCTTTTGTGCCATCTCACGGTTCTGTTACTATTCCATTCCTTGCACTTTGTCTTTTTCCGGTGGTTCTGTCATCTCTCCCTGACTCTGGGTTCCTCTAGGCCGCACTGTGTTTTTTCATCTTGATAACACCCACAGTGCTCGCCTCTGAGGACCCATTTGCTAAGTAATTGAGAAGCCGCCGTATCCAGAACATGAAGCATTGCTTCTTGCTGGCTGTGTCCCAAAAGCAATTTCCAGATTCATTAGTTTTTAGTTGTTAAAAAAACAAAAAGCCCAGAACCACAACTATATCTTTAACATTCTCCCTCTCCATCGCCTTTACCTCCTTCTCTGCTTCAGCCACTCTGAGTGACATAAAAAGGACTTGTAAACAGAAGTGCAAGGTGATTGACACATCATACCTGATACTACTTGTGTACTATCTGGTTTCTTGATTAGGAAGGACCTACCCACACTGGGCAAATAAAAACAACAAACTATTCACAAGCTGGAGCTTTCCTGTTCTTCAGAGAGAGGTTAAAAGTCCAACATAAATGCAAGGGATTTTTGTTAGCAAGGCTCTCATTGTGAATGAAGTCAAAATAGTAGCCAAATGATAATCTTTGATGGTCTGTGTTAACATGCAGGGGAGGACCATACCACCATCTTGACTGTAGTTAGAAGCATTCATTTGTGGGTGTCATCTTTGTGTACCCCGTTCTCCTTAGACACACTGTATATTACAGAGTTTAGCTGCAGTAAAGAGAAATACTGCAACATGACTGAGAAGATCCGGGTCTGGTCAGGGTTGGAGTGAGAAAAGAAGAACTATCAAGAGAATATTAAAGAACTGACTGTAATGATGACTTTGAACTCCTCTCTCTCTCAGGACTATGTCCTGGCAACCCCCTTGGAACCTCTCTTCACTTTAGCCTGAGAAAATAGACAAGTGGATGGGGCTGGTATGAGGGAGAAAGAAAACATATCACAGTACCCCAGATTCATTTATTCATACACATCCTTCCAGAAGCTATTCCAGACACTGAGCACAAGTCTGTCAATGGAACAGGCCGCATCTCCAGCCCCAGGAAACCTCTGTCCGGTTTGTGCTTCCATTTTGCAATACTGATGGGGTGGTGAGTGTCTGTGGAGAGTGCAGGAGGAACCTGACCAGGAAGAAAAGAAAGAGGGAAAAAAAGAGTCCACGAAAGAAGTGAGGGAGATGAGAAAGTGAGTCTGGAGCTAGGGGGTCCCAAGAAGAGCTCAAGAAAAAAATTTGGTAAAGGCATTCTAGGAGGAGAGGGCCCAGCTCCTACTGACAGTTTATTCTAAAGCTCTGGATTAACCTGATTCATGGGCCTTTCTTTTCTGGGAGTGCATGTTAAGGTTCACACTCTGACACTTATTGCCTCCAGCTCTGTGTGTGAGGTAATGCTATTCTCTTCCAAATCCTATACTCCTGGAAAATGTGAGCCCCCCTGCCCTACTGTGAGTGGGTGGGTACTGCCCCCTGGTGGTGCTTAGTTGAGTTGTCCTCTGCTCCAGGCTTTTAGGTGTGTAGAAAATGGGCTGCTTGCTATTGGTTCCTGGCCCATGGTTTCCTGTTGATTCCAAGACCTCAGGCCTTAGTCCCACCCTAACATTACCGGGATACTGCCCACTCTCTTCATTCTCCTTTCCCAAGATCCTGACAGTGTACAAAAGTAGGCAAGCCTACCCCTCAACCCCTGCTGCTCTCCCTCAGTTCACCCTGCTGTTCTTCCCATCTCTCTTCTTTTCTCACCTGGGATGTCTTTTATTTGGGGGGGGGAGCTGTAGGCAAGAGCATCTAGAGCCAGTTCACAGTGTAGGATCAGATATCGTATGTAGTAAGTTTCCTAGCTAGAATTAAGGGGGTAACCAAAGAATAAGGACAGAATGTCAAAGCTTAAATCTAGAGTGGTGCTGGTGCAGGCTCTTGGGTTCCTGTCTTCTTTGTAGGGCTCTTGAAGAAGCTTCTCCTCCTCTACACAGGCCAAAGGGAAACTGAAAGGCTAAAATTCAAGTCTTTCTTCATTAAGGACTTATGTGGTCTCCATATATGTGGTCTCTCTTTTTGGGGTGACAAGAGCTATCTGATCACTTCTCCATGCTCCTTTGTGATCCCCTTTTCTGAGGGGCTCCAGGCAAAGGAGCTGGCCTGTGGCTATCAGGGCAAAGTTATAGCCTTTAGTACTCACATCTCTTTCTTAGCCTTCCAGATCCTCTCAGGGACCAACCCTTCCTTCTTCAGATCCAGGCCAAGGAGCCAGCATCCTTTCCCAGCATGCCCTGCTCCCTCTCAGCTCAGCAAATTGAATTGCTTTATCAGACCTCATCACCAGGCTTTTTATTCTGTGCCGGATGAGGAGGGTAGACAAGGGAAGACTGGGAACCTGTTTGCTCAACAGCTCATTTTATTCTTCCATTCTCCATATATGTGGTCTCCATATATTTGGAGCCCCAGATTCTGGGGCTCCAAATCAAATGTGAGAGCTGTCCCAGGAAGTTTCTAGAAAGAATGTACCAGGACAGTGGCCCAGAGCACTACAGGCAACGTGGAGGTCGGCTACACTGATTCTTATAACAGCTGCCAGCAGGGTTGTATTGCTCTAAAAACCTCAGGGACTTCAGATGCCCTTTGATGCCCTTCCATCTCTTAAGACGAAGAGACCAAAAAGGTGCAGATCACAAGCTTGGGCTTGGTCAGAACTCGGGATTTCAGAAACAGTGGCTTAGAGTCATAGGTCTGGTGGGGGGACTGTGGTACCTCATAGGCATGTTTCTGATGAGGGATTTCAGCCTATGTAGCGGCAGTGAACCTTGGAGATGGCACTACAGCTGGGTTTGGGCCAAGAACAGAGAAACCATGCAAGCTCATGTGGTCTCCATGTGTAGGACAGTGTTCTTAAAAATCATAGAGGCAGAGCCAGTCAAGGTACCCCTACAGGCGTTTTTTTCCTCAGGGATGTTGTTGGGCTCTGGGAGGCAGCTGGGGCTGAGACAGAGACACAGAGACACAGACACACACACACACACACACAGAGAGAGAGAGAGAGAGAGAGAGAGAGAGAGAGAGAGAGAGAGAGAGAGAGCAGGGCCCAGCTGGCATGTCTCCTTGGCATTCACCATTTTTCC